GTCATAATACATTGATCATTTCTTACTACCTCTAGCATGTCATGAAATGAAATGTTGCAAATGATGCAGATGAAGCTAGAATGAGAGTATGGCTACAAAGAGTATGGCGAGCAACTAACCATGGATTTGAAAAACGAGTAACACAAGAAGATGTAACCGGTTACAGTTTATTGGAAGAAGCAAAAGAATGAAGCCAGAAACTTTAGAAAATAATAGAAGCTATTGAAACTGTAAAAATTGGCAACGGTAAAAAGTTCAGAATATCAACAACAACAAAAAAACTTATTGATAAATATAAATATTGTAAAGTCAGAGACATACAAAGAATTGACGCGAAGGTGAATTTTTACCTTTCCTACCTTTGATATTTGCTGGTCTTACCGCGGCGGGTGCAAAAACTGGTGGTACAGCTGTCGCAGTAAAAGCTGCCAACGAAAATAGAGCAGCTGCAGTAAAAGCTGTTAATGATAAGAAAGCAGCTGATGCTAAAAACGCTGGAGAACGTAGACACAATTTGGAAATGGAAAAGTTGAAAGCAGAGGCTAGAAAAAGTAAAAAACCTAAATATATACACTGGAGAAGGAATATAAAGGAGTTATTTTTGGAACAAAAACAGAGAATAATAAATAGATAAAAAATGGGAAAGAAACATTCAGAAATATTTCTTATGCTTATGTGTATATGCGGTAGTTCAGGTTGTGGGAAACCTCGTCTCACTTTTAACATGTTCACAACACCAAACCTTTTAGATTTTGATTCTCTACACATCAACAACAGAGCAATCATATTATCGATTCCTCAAAGAATATCTACCAAAGAAAGATGTTCAAGACATAAGTTTTAATCAAACGGATATAAAAGTTTTTCTTACGAAAATTTGTCTAAAATTGATAGTGAGCGAAAGAACTTAATAGCGTTTGACGACTGTGTAGCAGAAAGAAATCAAGCTGTTCAATTAAAATATTTTTCGTGAAAGGAAGACATCACAACTGTCACCGCATATACCAATCCCAAACTTTTTACGAGATGGATGCTATATTGTTTTTTATTATTTGAATTAAACGACAAAGATTTGTCTCAAATCATTCAGTCGATAAATCACAGAATGGAAAAACCCAGATAATCATGGATATGTATTTGTTAATACTAGAAAACCTGCGGGTGAAAGAGTTATGATCGGCATATGTTAATTTTATTTTTTTTAAAAAATGGATAATTGGAATAATATTTTGAAAAGAAATAGACAATATATCAAAGCTAAGAATAAAATAAAGACCCAAGTTGAAAATTACAACAACTTGGATTAACAGAAAATTTACAAACTCGATTTCAACCAATATTAAAAACTCAAGGGGAAATAAAAAATAATTCAGCTTTAGAATATAGACCTACACTCACGCCTCGTATAGATCACCCCGATCCGAAACCGAATGAATATAGTGGTATTATAATTAGGACAATAGATGATATTAATCGTCTTTTTTCAAACCCTGAGCCAGATTTACCAAAGAGTATTACATCATTCAAGGTATAACGTTTTTATCCGACATCAACGAGGAATTACATGATAGATTACAAATAATATTAGCGGCAATGAAAGAAGGTCATCAATCACACAGAAAATATATGAAAGTAAATTGCATATAAAAAAGACTCCTCGAGAAAGGTATTTTAGATTGATTATAAAAATGTAATTAAAAATGTCAAATAAAGAACAACTATTCGTTATCACCTCAAATAAATCAGACATTAAATTGACTCTAAATTGTCTCTAGTATGAACTCGATCGCAATCAAAAATATTAAATGGGATTAAAGTATTTCTCTGTTTACATTTCCATTAGAAATATCAACGAAAATAATAACCAAATAAAAATATCATAACCTTTCCTCGACACTTGGAAAAGGATAATACTTCAAAAACCGGTTCGTGTCAATTGCGTAAGTTTTTGTTGTACTTGTTACAATATTTCACATCATTGATAAGTCTCGTCCAATCAAAAAGTGCTATCAAAATCTTAGAAAAAAAACCCAGCAAGTTACTAGTTCGCGGGCGCATTCAAAACTTTAGAAATGAAAAACAACGATTGCTGTTGAAACCTGTTGAAGAACATCTTATCTTTTGATACATTCACATCATACCGTCTCAAACAAAGAGAATATAACCTACTGTTAGACCAGAAATCCAAACAGAAACAAGAAAAAAAAATCCGCCAAAAGTAGTCGACAACACAACTCGTCAATAATTCCTAACCAAAACTGTAGTCAATCTTAGCCAAAAACAACTAACAGACCAGCAAATTAGTGTATTGACCAGTATCGAAGAGCATTAACCAAGATGATTTCATAAACGAAATAGAAAAAGGAATCCGACAGCTTGCACCAGGGGGCGAAGTGGATTATTCACGTCACCAAATTTCTGAAATTCACTCCAAAACAAAATTGAAGCAAGATCAAACCATATCAGCCGACAATGGGAAGGCAACAGTTAATCCTAGACAAAGATGAATATACAGCAACAGTCAACAACCTATTAAGAGATCCCAAAACCTACAGAATCCTCAGAAAAGATCCTAATATCCTTAAAAGAACAGAACAGCTCTTTTACCAACTAAAACCTTCTCACCCACAACCGCCATATGCCAGAGCTAATATAAAAATACATAAAAACCCTCCAAAAGCTAAAATTTTATTGTGCTTAAGAGTCTCAGTGTTTTACAATACAGCAACTTATCTCTCTAAACTGTTATCAAATTTAGGCAAAACAGCAGACTCATTTATCAGTGACTCAAGTGATTTTTGTTTCAAAATGAAAGCTATTAGTACCCTAGGAAAAATACTATCATATGATGTGGTAGATTTATTCACGAATGTCCCCAGAAAAGTAGCCCTAGATGTGCTGCACAATAACATTACAACGCTACCAACCCCTCTTGATACTAAACTCAGTCCTGCAAACATTACAGCTTTAGTAGATAATTCCATAAAATCTACATTTTATACATAGGGGAAACGAAAAGACCACTTCAAAAAAGGATCAAAGAACATCAATAAAATGCAGCCAACCAATCAGCAATCCAAGACCATACAAAAGTTACAGGCCGCAAAGTCAATTGGAATGAAACCATTACACTAGTCATCAACAACACCAATAAGAAAGAAAGGACTAGAGCCGTGCCACGGTACCTGATACATCGTTGCATTTTAAAGTCACAATGGGATTTCTTAACGAAAAGAAAAGCATGTAAACATTCAATATTAAAAATATCGTTTAAGCCGTTTAACGTTCGGTAGTGAAGAGACGCATGAATTTGATAGCATTTGGTACTAAAAAGTATTAACAGCTGTTAAAAGTATAAAAGAATTTATACTTATATTTTTGGAAAGGTTTTTGTTTGCGATCAAAACGTCTATCTACTTGTAAATTTACAGATCGATTGAAATGAAATTGTATAAGTTGAAAAAAGCGCTAAAATTAAAACAAAAAAGTCAGGGACAAAAGTTGAAAGTGCTATCCTTCAGCTACTACTCAAAAGTAACGAACAAAATTTCGATGAAAAAATGATTCAGAATTGATGTAGTAATTCGAAAGTCATAATGAGTGACTATGTCCTACGTCACTTTCGATTAGGTGAAAATGCGTCATTTTACATTTGAACAACAACGACACGCACAATTTATAACAGATAATGATGAAAGTTAATGTGTGACATATGCAGTTTTGGCTGTGCGCTCTGACTAGAATCGGAAAAAACCTAGATCCACAGGCTTCGCGTGGTTCTGAAGCAGTGCGTAACAGTTTTGATTTTACGCTTAAACTGTGCCGCAAAGTATCGTAACAGTAACATTATTTCCTTTCATAATTAACTGGGTATAGGTCGCCCAAATGCAAAGCATATTCGACAGATCACTTCAACTCACATTATATAAATATTTCTTAACCTACTGTTTTCAACAACCTTTATCTTTTAGACTACGAAAAACTAACAAAAGGAACACCGACTTTTTTCAAGATAAAATTCACCAATTTCAAATGGCGATAAAATCGGAAGTAAATACCGTACAATAAACGTCGAAAGCTATCAAATTTGTTCTGGTCACATGATCACCAAAGGTCAAAGTCACGATATACGACCCTTCAAAGTATTCACATTTTTCAACCGGAAATAAATAAAAAGCATATCAAAATTCAAAAATCGGTTCTCAAATATTAGTAGTAGATAACACAAACATCAAATATACCCAAATCCGATAACCCTCTTAGATTTAAAGAAATTAGGCACAGTTACTATAGAACAAAATACAAAATTTTCAAATATTAAAAAGCGCAATTTTGGTTAAAATGTTATATATCATTACAAAGAGCAGATGAACACTAGTAAGATTCAATAAGAATTTTTGGTTTATGTAAATTAGGTCACGTGTCAGAGCTTTTTGAAGATAAAAATCGTAATTTTCACTAGGCTATAAAACCGGAAGTAAACATTACACAGCACAAATGAGTATTTCACTGGGAAGGGCAACACATTTTGTTCAGGCCACAAGGTCTCCAAAGGTCAAGGTCACGAAATAGGAGCCTTTGAAGAGTCTATCCCTCTGTAAGTTTTCATATTGATCGAAATAGAATTGTAGAAGTTAGAAAAAAGGCTAAAAAAATAAAAAATTGGAGCTCAAAAAGACAAAATTGTCGATTTTTATACGCCACATGTGGTCGTTGCTTTAGATTGATAAGATCTCGGTCAAGTTCGAATTTGACATATTTTCGATGAACGGTTTTTGAGTTTTTGCCCTTGACTTTGTTAAAACGCGTCGAAGTTTGTTAAAAATAGTTCGCGAGCAACCGAATGAAACTTGGTGTGATCATTGGAATTGATAAGATCTCGGACAAGTTCTAACTTGAAGCATTTTTGATGAATGGTTTTTGAGTTATCTTGACTTTGTTAAAAACGCGGTCAAAATGTGTTTATGAGCACTATAGAAGCTACAGTTTTCAACCAAATTTGATCAAACTTTTGAATTGAAAAGATCTCGGACAAGTTCTATCTTAAGGCATTTTCAATGAACGCTACTTTGACAATAGAAGCTACAGTTTTCAACCGATTTTGATGAAAATTGGTGTGATCAATGGAATTGATAAGATCTCGGACAAAAGTCAAAAGTTGTTTTTTGCCCTTGATTAGAGCTGTGTGATTTAATTGTTTGTTGTATTTGGGTTATTGATATTGATTTTAAAAAATTTTGTGGAATTACTCAGCATAAATAACTGGCATATATATATATGTAATTAAATTCAAACTAATAAAATGTCTTCAATATGAGAAAATTCATACTTTAGTCACTAAAGACTGTTTTATCATTTCTGACAGCTGCCAGTGGGTGTTTGGGATGCGATGAGATGCGATGAAGAACGATGTAATGTTTCTAAAATATTTATCCGATGAACATGAACGATGACAACATGGCGATGACAAAATGATGATGTGGCAGTGTCGAGCAGGCGGAAGTCCAAAAATTAGTAATGTTTCGTGTTCAGTCGAGTCATT